TAAACCCGACGTAATAAGACCATGTAAAATGATACAATACCACTTGATTGACATACCTTTATGGTAATTACAGAAATATAGAGTTGCATCATAAACATATTGGATTATTACTAGCTAGGTGAATTCATGTGTAGTATAAATAAAGCCTAATTGATCAAGTTATGGTCAGATTACAGTTTGATGATCTTGATGAACCTGTAGTTAATTTCTAATATGATAAAAAAAAAAAAAAAAATAGGAGCAGCTTGAACAACACCTTCCACATCCCCCTCTTTCACAATTACACAACTTTCAATTTTCAGTTAATCCATTTCAAGGGTTTGATCAATCAGGTGGTTGTAGCTTCAGCACACAATATCACTGGTTCAAGCCTGAAATTTAGATCATAACATTCCTCCATTTTTGTTGTCAACCTTCTTTATAAAGCAGTTGTAACCTGGTGCAAAATTTCAATAGTTTAAGGGATTAATTGTCTAGCTATAACATAAAATTTGATGCATGGAAAATGGTGAATGATCTTACTGGGGGAGAGAGATTTACCCCAGATGCATTGTTTCTGGTGCTTCAATTTTTTCAGGTTCCGGCTGGCTTAGCTGTAGATTGATAGGTGTATCCAAGTCATATCCATTGCTGACTTTATACGAGGTTTTGTTTGTTTCATTTACACTTCCTGATCCATAAACCTGGAAACATAAAAACTTACCTTAGAGTCAGCCAGGAATTAGATCTCACTCTACAAGTTATAAAAAGAGTGGCCCAGTGTATGAAATTCTCGTCATCTAGTCATCTGAAACAAGGAAAAATGTAGTATATAATTTACTTTCGATTCTGCTAGTCATTTGATCCAATACCCTTTTCTGCAAGTCTGTGTTTTCTTGGCGGATGAGATCTAGCTTCTTATACAGGTCTATGTTCTCTTCATGAATGAGATTTCCCTGCGACGAAATTTATGATAAATCAGCTACACAAATCTAATCCAATTTAAGGTTACAAAAAAAAATCAGAACATTTGGCAGATTTTTTCGGATCACCTTCTGGTTTAGTTCTTTGATTTCATCGGTTAAAATTTGCTCCTGCAAGAAGGAACAATAGTTTTCAATTTTTCAGAGGATGAGAACTATGTTTTATTTTTGGGTAAATAAATGAATTTGTTAATCAAAAAAGAACAAGTATATCGAGTATACCCAGATACTTAAAAGGATGAGAATTTTGTTGGGGTTGAAGTATAATTTACCTTTTTTGCCCGGATTGCCTTCAGACTAGTCTCCAACTTGTTTTCCAGATTTTGAAGTTCCTCCACGCTTAAACCAAAAAGTTCTTCTCCCAATATTTGCCTGTAGTGATAATAGTGGGAAGTGTAGGGTATGTTATCATGCATGGAGATAAGGCTACGCTATCAAATTTAACTTTTTGTAGTCATACCGAAAAATGATTCTCAGCCTTCAATCTAAGCTTGAGTTATTCGTGACCATTGATCTTGATGTGTGGGGCAAAATAACGAGCTATAGTACTAAAAGTTATTTTTCAGTATCATAGTCTACTGCCTACTTTTAGAGTTCATACTGTCATGCATAATAATTTAACTTCCTTCTAATTTTAACTCTAATCTTGGCCTTCCACATCACTCTTTGGCCTCGATAATGCATGGATCTTCTGCCCTAGTATTACACTTTGAAATTAAAATGCATAGTAAAATGCTCTTAATATCTTGCTCATTTTGTTAGCTTATGTTATAAAGCTGGTGCATTTTGTGAACTTGGATTCTCTCCTGAAACTGCCTTGCCTAATTGGATTCTCTTTCTGCAATTATCTTTGCATAGTAATAAAATTAGAACGATATAGAGAAGATTAACATAACTCCTGCGTAAGGATAACACGCACAAATAGAGAAATGATACATAGTAGTGTGCATGATGTGTTATCCATGTATCTAACATTTGTGTACATATTATACTATATTTTGTCACACTCATAAGGTGTTTCATCTATCTATATATACCAATCGAATTAAAGGGAGACGACTTAGAAAACATTCCCTCTCCATTTTAGTTTTCAAAATTCTGATTTATTAAATAAATAAATAAAAAGCTTTCCTCAAATCTAATTCTTACACAACTTGCATATAACCATTTTCTGAACTTCCTAAAATCCCATTCCTTTTACAATTTCTTACACCATATCCACTTTTTATTTCTCATCTTCTCCTTCTTTTCTCTCTAACACCGACTAGTTAAAAGGATTATCAATCCAAGAAAGTTGTATATGTGAAAGTAGCAAATGGGTCTAAAACATACAATGCTAGCTTCTTTATGCATATATATATTCAAAACTTATTGGATCATGAATATCTTCAGTACTTTTAGACTAGGATTTATCGACCGAACTTACCTGTAGCTTTCTTGCAAATACTGCAGCTGTTGCCTCAAGCTTTCTGCTTCCCTTTGCCAAAGCTAACATTCATAGAACAATGTAAGAATAAATTTTATAGTGTTAAGAATGCAGGACTTTATTCAACAAATTCAAAGTTGTTAACCCTAGTATCCATATGTTGGCCTATATATTTAACATGTGCTTAATTTGTGTATATTTATAGCACTGAAGTTTTATAAGGTTGGTAACCTTTTTTTTTGATCATGTACTGCAGAGGGGGATGACGAGGTTCAAACCCACTAACCTCTATAAGATTAGTACCTAGGGAACACTAAAAGCAAGGACTTAAACAACCTGGGAAATGTAGATTGCTGGATCAAGATTTCAATTCTTCTTCAGGTAGCAATCAAGGAGAGGTTGGCAACTAAGAACAGAATTTAGAGTTATTCTCCTAATACTAGTACAATGTGTGTATTATGTAGGGAGAGACCTGAATCTCACCTTCACCTATACTTTGAATGCTCTTTCTCAGGAAGAATTTGGGAATTTATATCTTCTAAATGCTATATACAATTCTTAAGGCTTCCATGGCAGCAATTGATACAACATTATACAAATGATTGGAACAGAAAAGCTCTCATCAACTCAGTCAAGAAACTGTGCTTGGCACCTACAGTTTATGTTATCTGAAGGGAAAGGAGCTAAAGAATTTTTAACAATGAATTCAAGGATCCTATACATATCCAGCAGAACATCTTCACCACTATAATATACAAACTTTTCTCACTTAAATTCAAGAACACCCCCAACAATAGGAAACTAGCAATTAATTGGAGGCTACCTAGCTCTTGTTTTGGTACATGAGGATGAAGTTGTTCTTTTTCAACTATGTAATTTAGTATGTGAAGGTTATTGTCACTTAAACAGAACCCTTTCTAGATTTATTTTTCTCTTTTGATCATCTCATGTTGAGATATGTAGGCTGTTGTAGCTTGATTTTAACACTGCAGCTTTTGCTTTGTTACAAAACTCATTCATTTGCCCAAAAAAAAAAATTCCTCTTCAGGTAGGATGAAAAGTTAAAGGGGCATTTGATTTTCATTTGAGACAATGTGTATCATTTGCATTTAAACTAGATTAAACTATAATTTGTTTTTCGAAGTAAAGGAGTGTTAATTCATCGTTATCTAAATAATTGGGGAGGACAGTGCAATTAAGTAGATTGGATATGCACAAGCTGCAAAAGTAGTTCACAGTTCTAAAACAGTCTGAACTATTCAAGACATCTCCATAACCCTTTCATACAATTTTGCTCTCCCGTTAACTATGAGCTAGTTTGCTTAGGGTTCATTTGGTTAGAAAGAAAAGAACAACGGAATATAAGTGTGATAAAAATTGAAGTGAAAGAAAAATGAAAAGAAAATATCTTGGTTTGTTCGACAATTAGTGTTTAATGATATATGTACAATACAAGACTGCAAGGGAATTGCTTTTCAGAGCAAGACCAAGACCTATAACTAATGCATGGGTGGCTTGTAAAGTAAACAACCAAAACAACACCTCCTCCTAAAAAAAAAACCACATACACCCCAACCCAAAATTTCCATAGAGGAATTTCATACCCTTTTTCCCTGCAAACATGAAACTTAGGTCATACGAAGAAACTTTTTGACATTACCCGCCCAAATGGTGTTTTTAAGAAGAAAAAAAATGCCATTTTTGGCACAACAACCATATCAATTGTTCTTTTTTTTGGAAGGGAAAATTTTAATGATCCAAAATAAGATGTACAATAAATCTCAAAACACATCAAGAAAGACACAAACTAGCACTCCAAAGAGTCTATTCCACACCAAAAACAAACTTGGCCTATATTAAAAAATAATAGAAACTAGGTAGGAACTTGTCTATTCAAACAAAGCTGAATGTAATCCTAGGCAATGCACAAAATTACCTCATTACACAAGGGACTAAGTATAAATACTAATCCTAAGAAGGTTTGCCCTCATAAATTTTGGCTTTTGTTCTTTTGTCTTAGTTGAAGGAGGGCTATAAATTTTGGCTTGTTTTTTTTTTTTTACTATCTCATTCGATCGTGGGTGTATGTATCTCTCCACTAAAACACTTACAACGTCTCGAATGCTCTTAAAAATTAGGTAAATCTAATCTCTCTAGCAGTCTATTGTTCTCACTCTAATACTCTTGAATCACAGAAAACAAGAGGAATTGGGAGGATTTCTTGAAGAATTACCTTGACTTCGGAAGTCGGACTCAGCAATTGATGCTCCTCTTTCTGTTGGTGGTATCGTTCAATTACAGAGTTCATGCTATACAAAAGTAAAGCAAAAACAATGTCAGCTTTCTTCATCACATGTGCATATGAGAGAGAGACATGATAGGAATTTCACGTGCAACATCATGACATAACTTTCAAAAAGGAAGAAGACTGTGTTATCCAAAAAAAATAAAAATTTGGTATCATACCACCAAGTTTTACAAGTTTTGAAGGTTGAGATACAAGTTTTTAGAACAAAAATTCAATTTATAACTTTTGTGGATCATTTATAGTTTTTTAGAGTGATTTCTGCTGATCGATCATTAAGATCCTCAAAAGTTAAAAATGACCTACAAAAGTTGTAAATTAAACTATAAAAGTTATAACTAATCCTTAAAACTCGTAAATGATCCTCAAAAGTTGTAAATGTCCTCAAAATTAGTAAAAAAAAAATCGCAAAACTTTTAATGGTGCTATAGTAGTGAAAAAAACTTTTTCCGTACCATAAACTTATCCTTAAAAAAGAAGCACTTGTAATAAATATCACCATATATGAAGTAAAAGAATTTAGTTTATCATAGTGTTCCTATTCTGTTTATAGTTTGCACAGGTAATTCGACATTTCCAACATGTTTATTCATGTGGGAACAAAATGTTTATATAGTTTGAAGCTGGTCATCTAGATAATGTACTAGAGGTGCAGATATTTTTTTATTTCTTTATTTATTTTTTGGGGAGAGGGGAAAGGGGGAGTTAAACCATTAATCTCAAGAAAGCAAAACTTTCACAAGCTAAAGAGTACCATTAAACCAAAGGCCCGTTGGTTAGAGGTACAGATATAGATGATGGAATAATGTCACAATCATCGATCACATCTCACTAAGTCATCGCTCTTCCTCGACTATATCGTTCATTTCAGCTTAATTGTTATCATATATTATTGAAATCCCTCTTGTTGATCATCTATAATATGTTTACCTTAAGGGGATCACCATTCTTCTTCTACAATCATTAAACACAATGCTCAACTTTTGTCCAGTAATAGCCTAAGAAATGCTCTTAGAGAGCAATGATTCTTTCACCTTTCCCACAATTGTGCAACTTCCCCTAAAAAGAGTAAGCTACCGTTTGGTAGCACTTTTTTTTTTTTTTGTAAGTAAATTTGTTTATGCAAAAAACAGTTTTGTCAGAAAAATAAAAACATGCTTGTCTACTATTTTCGCAAATGTCGATGTAAATTTATTTTAATATGTAAATAATATCCTTATATACCTATATCTGTTATTATGTGTGTGATTAAGGCTACAGGAAGAGATTATGCCCCAAGATAAAAGAAAATTTCAAATGGCAAAAATGCAAAAAATAACTTTAGTTAGAAAAATACTTCAAAAAAACAAAAGTACTTAGAAAACCTTTATCACACAATAACTAGGTTTTGAAGTGTTCTTAATTTTCATTTGACACAACATTCTAAATTGCTAAGTTTGATTTGACTATATCTGTCACAATTCGATCAAGAGGCACATCACTTATCATGTCCTTACCTATTAGAACTTTCTTCACCTCTCATTGAAATGGTCAAAGATATAAAAGGACTTACCATAAAAAATGGTAGGATGATTCCCTCCGATATATCTTTTCTCCATTTGTCTCCTTGGTAATCATCTACCATGAATTCAAGTAGGACTCAATGTTGTATATAACTAGGTTCCTCACTAACACGTGGTGAAGAAAAAAATATTGAGGACATTAGATTACGCTATATATGTAGTGTAAAGATCATCTCATTTACAAAGATGGACCTTTAGCTGTGGTTCCTACACAGCTTGATTATGATTATTGTTTCTGTTATAAAAGTGCGATGTGATGAACAATCAAGATAGAAAATAATCAAGAATAAGAACCCAACATTTATGTAATGTAGTAGTAATTCTACGAGCGGCTGCTTTTCGTTATGTATCCAAATTCTATTGAATTACAATATATTTACAGGCACTAGTTAACAACTATAATTTTGGTCCAACTAAAAAACCAAGTCCTTGTAAAGTTGATACACCCGCTCTGGTTCATTGCGCTCCATTCTATTTTGCTACTCACTGAAGCATTGACTTTTTGGTCTAACGAATTATAAGTCACCCATTATTTCCTACAGTTTTGAGTACCTATGTTGTGGGCATTGAAATGGTTATCTAGGCTGACAATGCACTTCTTTGTAGTCATTGATGAAGTAAAAACTAAACCAAAAATAGGAAGTACAAAAGATATCAACATTTGCATTTCTTATTCCTAGTAGTAGATGTTCCGTGAAGGAAGATCATAGGCATTAATGGTACTGTCGTGCAAACACACCTCATTTGCATGGTGGCTGCAATATAAAAGCTTATATTCTAGCCATCTTGTATAAATCTTCTCTCTATCTTGATGTTTTGCCTATGAAATGTTGGAAAGATAACACAAAACATTCTCTTTTGCAGTCATTTTATTATATATTTTGGATAGTAAAAAGATCCACGTGAACCTCAGTTACTTTTTGCTCTAATTGAGAAATTCTCAAAGGGGAAAAAAATATAACTTAGTGCACAAAACTTACGTTACCACCAGGTCTAGGAATTTTTTAATGAATCTATTATCCTATAATACATTTTTCGTCAATGAACCTTTGGTTTAATGGTACTCTTTGTCTTGTGAAAACTTTGTTTTCTTTAAGTTAAGGGTTCAACTCTCTCTCCCCTTCCCCCATCTCCCTCCCCCCCAAAAAAATAATAATAATACGCTTTTCATAGGTCATAAGCATTATGTAATTATACAAGGATCCGGAAGAGCCTTTAAAGGAGACAAAATCAAAATAATGTGATAACCAGTATAATCCTAAAAAAAAAGCTCAAATTTCCAACTTCAATGGAGATATACCAAGATTTTTACCCTTGTCATGAACACTACTTCATACACCATCTTCTGCCATTATCTTCTTTAAAAATGCAACTATATGGACAAATATTAGCAAAACCCTAGGCCCTTCTATCTTCAACTTTCTCCTCGTTTAATTCTCAGACCATACGGGGCTTAATGAACTTGCCTTAAACACTGTGTTTTTCCTGTCAATTTTGTTATCAAATCCAGATTGTCTTCTTCGTGAAAAGAGTGGATAATCATATAAAGAAGGGCCTTGCCTAACACCGACCCAATCTCGAACGATCTTCTTTTATGTATGATGAAAGCGTCTTTTATTGAGTAGAAATGGAGCAAAAGAGCAAAAGAGAAGGGTGAGTCAAAGGGTGTACAGATGTTCATGTTTGAGTTTGACCCTCTTCAATATTTTCATACTATCAAAAACTTCCACCTCATAGTTCAAACTAACACCTTCATGTAATTTTGTGCATCAAAACAGAAAAATCTAACACTTAGATATTTGTCAATTTAGAGAGAGGGAGAGAGATTTAGGATCTAACCTAGTGCTTGCAAATTCATAGAGCCTGCCACTGCTGGAGAAGATTATGAGCCCAACTTCAGCCTCACAAAGGATTGATAGCTCATCAGCTTTCTTGAACAATCCGTTTCTTCTCTTAGAGAAAGTCACTTGCCGGCTTGTTGAATTGTCGATCCGACGGATCACAATCTTTCCTCTCCCCATCTCTTCTGTCTCTGATACTATTAGGGACTTAGGGTTTGCTGAGCTCACTAGTCTTATCTACTAGATCAGTAAGACCATGAAGATCACAAACACCTTGAAAAAATTACATCAAGTTTTAGAACAATATCAAAGAGATGGAGGCTTAAGACATATTACAGATCAAAGAAGAAATCATAAATTTAACAAACAATGAAAAATAAAAAAGACAAGAAAAGAAAAAAACAGACTAGTTTGGGAACTTACTTTTTTGAGCTAGCTGCAATGGAGGACTAGACAGAGAGAGAGAGAGAGAGAGAGAGAGGGTTTGAAGCAGTTATTAGCTTGAAATGGAAAGTGATGTTAGGGGAAGGTAGAACCTCCTTCTCAAAGGGAGCATGGATTTGTTATGTGCAGTGTGCACCCAAAACCACTTTTTAATGTTATCATTTTTTAAATCTATTATTGAAGTGTTGTTGTCTTTAGTCGCCTTCTATTTTTGGAAATCTGCCGAGATAAATCACACCACAAACGGGTTGTGATTCTAGCTAGTCTCATCGATTTAAATTTGAATCAAGTATTAATCAATTTTAATTTAATTTATTTAATTAATATTATTTGATGACTTGATACTAATCTAATCTATTTGGTAATTATATTGTATTTAAATTGACGTGCATAATATATACCTGAACCAATAATCAGAATAAATACTCTACCCCTTTCTTAATAAAACCCATGATCCATATGTCTCTAATGGAGGTAGACAAAAGGGCTAAATTGATACGATTAGATAGTTCAGGGGTTCAATTGATACAAAAAAAAGTTTAAGAATTTAATTCACACAAAAACCATAATTTGAGGGTTATAAATTTAGTTTACTCAATTTACTTTATCTTAATGTCAATAAAACCAAGTAAAAAATTGTCTAATTCCACAAAGAGATCAAAAATGAAAAATATAAAAAATAGACATTTTTTCTTACAATTAGACATTCTTAACTCACTAATTTTTATGTCAATCTACGGTATCGAAAACTAGGATAACTATAAGCGATCAAAAAATATTACTATCAATTACGACAAAATAACCTTTTTAAAAGTACATGCAGATTTCATGATAAATCATAAGAACAATGTTATAAGAACTTAAAATATTAACTTAATCAATCATTGTTATCGATTTAACAGTGGATCCTAATATTTATTAAAATTTATTAATTATTTTATAGTTGTGATTGATTAAGTTAACAAATTAAATCAGTATTTTAAATTCAAATAATATTTTTTATCATAATATTTGTGATCAATAACGAATAATTTAAATTAATTATAATTTGCCATTAAAAAATTTTACATTTATCTATCAAAATTATAATTTTTGGCATAATATCGAAAATAACTTTTTACTACCAAAGACTTAACCTATATATCCTCTTTGCAGCACACAAAGGTCAAAAGTGTTGACCACCATCAGAGTATGGCATGTGGGAGACTCTGAAAAGCTACTGACACAGCTCAATATATGCACAAATGTCGACTGCAAAGAGAGAATGCCCGCAGTTTGAAGACAAGAGAATGGACAGAAAAATTATCCTCGTACTCTGAAAGCTCTCTTTATTAGGAGTAAATATTGGACGTAATGTATTGTTACGTGATGTTATTATTAAATAATAAATTTATAATTAGATAAAGTGAATTTCATGTGGTGTTATTATTAAATAATAAATTTATAATTAGATAAAGTGAACTTCATTTGATAATTATTTTTGCACATGGTAGGATAATTATTAAATTAAGTAAAGTGTATTTGCATATGAATTAATTTGTTATTCAATGATGATAATACTGTGACAATAGTATCGTGGGGTTAATGACACATTCAATATGAGAGGAATTGAAGAGTAATTTTATTAGGATTTAAAAGGGTCAATCTAATTTGTTAATATAATAATTATTGATCAATGTCATTACTTTATCATTAAGTCATGTTTTTAGGTCGAATGTCTTTAATTTGAACTATTTATTATTTTCTTCAATTGCTCGTTCAATTAAAGCGAATCATGTGACAAATCATATAGGAATCTACCTCCCCTAATTGTGGAGCATGTAAACTAAGAAACTAATAACAGTATCTCCAATAATAAAAATTAGTTTAACTATTCAAAAAGTTTTTTTTTTTTATTTTAACTACTCACTTTTTTAATACATCCTCCAAGAGATTTTTTATATTTTTAACTTTTTTTGAAATATTATTTCTCATTATATATATTTGAAATAATGAGAGGGAGAAAGGGGAGAGAATGGAGGAAAGGAAAGGAAAGGAAAAGAGAGAAAAGATTATAAAATATTTTTATATATTGCTACAATGACACTCTGTGACAAAATGCTATTTTAGATTATTTGGAGATGTTTTGTTGGAATGGAATTTTAGGATAAAATAGCAAAATTTTGAAGTTTTTGTGTCTTTTAACTACTCTCTTGGAGATACTTTAACATCTATTTAATATTACAATTAGGAAAAATAGTCATGATTTTTTCAATCTTTATCTATTTTTCATCTAATAATACAAAATTTATCCCAATTTTTTTTAGCCCAAAACATTTAATTTTTCTCTCTAAATGCCAGATAACATAATCAATACACTTTCTAATGTTAAACAATCCTATCAATCTACATCTATCTATCTCATAATTTTATTTTTAAATTGAGTAATTAAAGAAAATTAATTATTATTTAAAATACAAATATTACAAGATCAATTCAATTTTTAGTATTGTATAATGTCTTCAGGCATGGGGTTCCAAACCCAACAGTTCTTTATTTTTTTTTAGGTACTATTATAAGAAGAAAGATGACGAGATTCAAACCAGTGAACTTAAGGTCTAACAACGGAGGAAGTGGGCATTAGGCCAACCGTCATTAACTTGTTTATCTTACGCTATACCTCAACTAAATTTCACTTAATAACATGATAGATAATTGAACTCTAGCAGCCTAGTTTTGACGTATGTATATAGATAGTTATTCACACCTTTTTTTTTTTAAAGTTGATCAAGCCATGCTATAATCGGACTTAATCCACCAGCTTTTCTGTGGCCATCACTTCTCCTTAGAATTGATGTGTTTCTCCTAACCAACTTTTTCTCATTAATTCATTTTATAACAAGCAAAGGAATGAAAAATGTTTTTATTTTTCTAGCAGAAAACATAGTTTGGCACCCTACTAGTTTTCCTGAACACAAAAAAAAAAAAAGTTTTCTTGAACACATAGGGGCTTTTCGTTCCATACAAATAATTACCAAGGCAAATCTCTGGAACATGCCATCTAGAAGAAACTCGAACTTAGAACCTCTAATGAGTGAAATGGACTCTCAATCATCTGAGCGTTTAGTTATATATTAGTTTAACTTACTCGAATTCAGAACCTAAAAATTTGAAATCTATTCTCAAATAGTCATCTTATGCTTTTATCTTTCTTCTTACTTCTTCCAAGTTGGTTAAAAGTTGCAACTGTCAAACATGAATGAAACTCGACTAGACTTCCAAACAAGAGTTCACTTTTCACTGCTGATAGACTTTGATAGTTTTGTCTTGGTTATATATCCATTTCTTCAAAAATTAAATGTTACAATGGTAAAATTGGTTCAATACGATTGAGCATTACATACTTTACTAACAAAGAGTAGTTTTTTAGCACAAGTGATACAATTGGGTATATGAGACCCTATCCGGCTACTAAAAACAAGGAGTCTCGTGTATTGTGCTATATTTTTTCTTTAGATTCTAGGTGCATGAAATTTACATGTATTTCTCACGTTTGTCTCACCAACCCTACCCCACAAGTAAATATTTTGTGTAACAGTGACACCATGTCATTATTGGTACATGGTGTGTAACGACCTGCCCAAACTATTAAGATATTATCCACTTTGAGTGTCTATACATCCTCATGGTTTTGTTTCTCTTGGACTTTGCCCTAGAAAAAGGCCTCTTAATAGTTAAGGGTGAGTACACCACATAAATAGCCTTCTCACTCCTCTTCTTGAGTCGATGTGAGATGCAACACATGAAACTATAGCACCTATTCACCTCACAAGGCTTATTGGCAGGCTACTACACTCCACCTCCTTGAAGGTCACATGTTCCCGTGAGGCCCACGTGGGGTCCACCCTCCAATTATTGGTGAGTCGGATCTGATACCACCTGTAACAATTCGTCCCAACTATTAAAATATTATCCTTTTTTGGTGTCCATACATCCTCATGATTTTGTTCATCTGAGACTTTGCCCTAAAAAAGGCCTCTTAACAGTTAAGGGTGAACACACTACATAAATAGCCTAATCGCTACCCTTCTTGAGGCGATGTGGAATGCAACATATGAAACTATAACATCTCCTTACCTCGCAAGGCCTATTAGTAGGCTATTACATAGTGTCTTCATCTAATAATAAACCTACAAATAAACAAGGCAACTTTACTTGGATAGTTATTAAATGACATGACAGGATAATTACTAGAATATATGAGACTCACCTACTTATTTGTTATAATTTTATTAGATGATGACACCACATAACAGTGATAACATAGTATCACCATTACATCTAGTATCTTTTCCCACCCCACTCCCACTCCCACTCCCACTCACACTCACCTTATTAGGTCCTCATTCCAACCCAAGAACACAGAGCTCCCCGGGCCAATCCATTCACTTTCCATTTCCTATCCCTTTAAATTTGTTTATTGATTTGAGAGAAAAGTTAAAGATTCAGAGGAGAAGAAATTCTTAATTGGCCACTTAGTAGTGCCACAACTGCTGATTGGTCAATCTCTTTTGCAGTCCTAGGAAAATCCTCTCTTTTTAGTGTGTGTTTGGGGGAGGAGGGATTAGGTGTAATATATGTGTGGGTGGCGGGAGGTGAGATACTTATAATTTATGCCTTGTGCTTTTGAATAAAATAAAGCACACTGCTCAGTGCCTCCAAGTAAGAGCTTTGGCCAAGTGTCAATGATCAGGAAA